GAACTGGTGAATACTCCCTTTGAAACTCAGACAGCAGAAATTCTCTTTGTGCGACCATGCTGCCCTCTGCTGGTGAACAGTTGCCATTATAACATTTGGCTGTACTAATCCTGCCTCCGTGTGTGTTTGTGTGTGCACACGCCAGTGTGGGAATACGCATTGCCTGTGCTGCGAACCATAATGTCAGCACTCGGTGGTTAATTAATACAAACATGAGAGACCTGAAGACACTTGCTAACAACACATCTGTGGTATGCCTTTAAAAACATATCATATAATGGCATTTGTATTTGAATGCTTGCTTTAATGTTACTGTGTGTTTCCTGTTGCAGCAAATTGAATACCTGACAGCCCAGTACACCACAGTAAAGAACAAAGTCCTGTCAGATCTCAACAGTAAGATGAACACACACACTCTGTTTATATATAATATTGGTCTAGTGTCTTTCACTTTGTTTGCTTGTGGCTCCCTGTGTTTGCCAAGCAGTGTATACTTGTACTTTTGTCCTAAAACCTTCTGTCCATTTCTGTTTCCTGACAGACACTGGACCTTTGCTGGGCGGTAGGATCCACAGTCAGCTGGCGAAAGAGGTGGTTCTCTCACTGGGCACTGCCCTGCGAGTGACAGGAGGTAACACTCTGTATTGGCTTTCAGTAGGACTCCCTGTTAAGCAGCTGTGTCATGGTATCCGAATGCAATATGGAGGTCCATAAGCTTCAACTCTATCTCCAGTTTCTGTCACCACATCTGATTGATTTTATTTAGTTCAAAATTCAATGATAAGTCCTTTTACACATGTCATTTGGACTGTCTGAACAGGTCAAACAAAACTCTGCTCTATTTCAAAGACAAGGTTTGTATGTTACAATAAACTTTTGAGAATTGTTGTTATGCAGAAATAAACATAAAAGTCACCAAGTAAAAGAAAAAAGTTGTGTATATATACATACACAGATACCCATTAGGTTTCCTAACTGTAGTCCTCAGTGTATTTTGTTTTTCTTAACATGTTTGCACCTAGTTCTCCATGCCATCCTCATCATGGTTCAGGCCACAACTCTCAACGTAGCCTTCAACTCCCACAACAAGTCCCTGCTCACCATCATGATGTCACACACTATGAGTTTGATTCATACAGACATAAGTCGCTTATTTAGCAGCTTGAGTTTGGTCATGATAGACTTTGGTTTTTTGCAGTTTGTGGAGATCAAAGGAAGCATGTTCAAGAAATTTGAAAAGAACAACCTTTTCCAGATGTCAAACAGTGGTAAGTGGTGAATGATGTGTAAAACAGGCAAATCTACTGATAGTTTTTGGGCATTTTGTACCTTAGCCTGTGAACTTGGTCATTTAGTACAAGGTATATTTATGGACTTGAGCTTAGCTGCAAATAGTACAAAGTAGGTTAATCCAGGATTGATTTGTTTGTTTCCCACAGACATAAAACAGAGGTTTACCAACTACATCCTCCTGCTCATTGTCTAAGAAACATGGAGCAGTTTTCATGGAACCCTGGTGACTACCACATCGCTGTGCAAAGAGTGTAACATCATGAAATCTACACAACCACTCTCTTTATGACAGATAGATGTGAACATCACACTGTTTCTCACAGGTCTCACAGGAGTGACTCACTCATTTCTTTCCTGCCTAGTATTATATTGCTTTGACCCTGACTTTTTTGGTATGTTTGTTTTAGACCACTTGTGGGTGCTGTTTCCTGACGTAATCATGGTGATAGCCTCAGAGGTTGCCGTGGACGTTGTCAAGCACGCGTTTATCACCAAATTCAATGACATCAGCGCTGATGTGAGTCCTCTTTGCATGCAATATTTTCACAGTTCATCCATTAGTATGTGGCGCTGTGAGTGCAGCAACTAGGGTAATTCTAGGTTCATGTACAAGTCTTTTTTACAGTGCTTGAAACCTTATCTTGTATTCTTCATCCACAGATGGAGTTTTTCCAGCTAATGGCCTTTTACAAGTTTTAGCAGAATCACCACATTTATTAGCCAGACATGTCAGGTGGTGTTACTTTCAGAAAAAGCTGAGATTTTAAGAAATACCATAAATTTGCATGTGGATTTTTAGGACAGTTTTTCACAAGATAAAAATATACAAACATTTTATGCAGTTTGAAATTGTTAAGTCTATCTGTGTCTAATGCTTTTCAGCCTAGGGCAAGTTAGTGCATGGATCAGGCTGCGTATTTCTGTCTGATTCCGATCCAGACCCAACAAGCTTATGGTAACTAATGTCTGAGCCCCAACACAATTGAGTTTGCATGATATTTGAGTGCTCCAGCCATCTAGCCTAAAGTTTGACCTACATGTCTGAACCCGAACCCAAACATAATTTCTAAATTTCTGTCCAAACCCAGCCTGTACCCCCAGTTACTGTACATTTCATTTAATGAGGGGTAACCATGGTTATGTAACAAAAACCAGCTTCACAGGAAGGGATTTATCTCCAAACTGTCAATCCTTACGCACACATAGCTGGTGTCCGAGCTCTTTTGACTCCATGCCTGTCCACATTTGATCCATGTGTACACATTATTGTTTTTTGACTTTATACACTGACCACCTGTTCTTCCACTCCTCACATTTCCCAGCACACAGACTCCACTGCAGAAAAATTTTCCACTCTTCCCACAAGTACCTAATATATGCTCCTTGTTAACCTTATGCCCACCCAGGGACGGGACTTTGACCTGTCACCTTATGCAATTATGTATGATGAAAGCGTAGTGCTATTTCTCTCTCTCTCTCTCTCTCTCTCTCTCTATCTATCTCTATCTCTATCACCATTCTTACATAATCCTTTTGCTATGTGCTCCTGAAAATGCACAAGACTGTGCCATGTTCACAGTGACATTAGAAATGGCAATTTTCTAATTGCTGGTGCAAAATTGAGTCATACTTCGTACAATGTTTAGAAACACTTAACTAGCTTAGCACAAAGACTGGAAATGGGGCAAACAACTGTCCAGAGATGAAAAATGTACTTTTCTTGTTTGTTCCCTCTGCACAAAATCAAAGCGTACAAACAGCTAGTTGAGGTTTTACAGGACATTGTGAAGTTTCCAGGCTCTCTCTCAACTGGGCACACTGACTTCCTGTAGTCTTTCTATCATTGTGAAGTTTCCAGGCACCCAGTGGGGAGACGCTCTTGGGATAAAGGCAAATGAGTCTGTTTCACAAAATGTTGAACTGTTCCTTTGAGTTTTAGTGTGTGCCACCATATTTATTATAGATGTGATAGCCACATGGTATAGTCTGTTGTTGCCTATTGAAGATAATTATATATCTGAAAAATAAAGGTTCTTTATCACTTTGATGCTGTTATGGAGTAGACTCGCTCATTGATTGGCTCTATGTGTTGAGCTAGTTGAGGTTTTACAGAACACTGTGTGCCAGGCGCTCTCTCGGCTGGTGTTAGAAATTACCCAATACTTTTGTTGGAAGCATGAGAAGTGAAGACAGGAGAGGACTGTTTAAAATCAGCAGAGAGTTTACTGGAAGTCTGAGCACAGGTTAAGTCTTACAGCGCTGGATTCAGAGAGACAGAGCTCCTGCAGGAAAACTGGCTTCTGAATCCTGAATTCAGTTTTACAATGCATTTTATCTTCTTGGGCTGCTCTGCCCTGGACAGGGGTGCAACATTCAATAGTTTGTGATCCTACTGGCCATTAGGTTTGAGCCGGAGCTCACAGTTCGTTGTTGGAATGTGGTAAAATCTAGGTACGGTATGTGTGTGTGTGTGTGTGTGAACCAGGTGGTCATCTCAGGTTGTGGGTCATCTTGGGTTGTTGTTTTTTTTTTCAAGTTTTGAACACACATGGAAAGTGCCTTAAGTTCTACATTTCTCAGTGTGGTATCTGTTCCCACTTTGCCAATTTTCACATAAAAATCTGTCTTGTATGCATTTGTGAACAGGATGATCACACTAAAGGTGCTCAACAGCATCATTCTGCTTGGGACGTCTTGTGTGTTCGTCAGAAAGGCCAACATGGAAGAAAAGCTTTTTGATCCTCCACCCTCTGCAGTGTCCAGCTGCGTAAACTCCAGAGCTCACCAAACCAAACATGTTCATAGTTCACCACAGCAAGGTAGCTGGCAGTGTATATCTTTCTCTTTATTGTTACATTGTACATTTCATGTAACAGCCTGGTTTAGCTTGAGCATGCCCCTTCACAAATTCAAAAATAC